CACATTTACAGACACTTTTATGCTCAAGGATGAAATTTCTTCTCTTAGATAACTTCCTAAATCAAAATAAGAATGCCCATCAATCATTTAAGAGTAGAAATTTTGGTAAAGAGTGCTTTTTTTAAAAAAAATGAAGCTGGCAGAATGATGCCTATCCTAGCATTCATTTTGACTGATGAACTCCAGAGCAGTTTATTGCAACAAATAGCATCTCCTAGTAAAATTTTCTCCTTCTGTTATCATTCTGCTCTACAAAAACATGTTTTTGACACCAGAAACAAATTGCAGCTACATGCAGAAGAATGAGTTGTTGCCTCTGAAAGCTATTTCCAAAACACCACAAACCTTAAAATTTTATCAAGACAAAAGGAAGGCTGGATGACACATTTATGCATTTTGTAATTCAAATCCACTATGTTTTACCTTTAGACAATCAAAATAAATCCAAATTCAAAATAGTCATGTTTTCTTGACTGACATAATTAATATTTTCATTGCTAAGAAGGGCAATGCCCAATATTATGCATTGTGTTAAATATCAGACTTGACTGAGGGAAACTAGTGTAATTTATTACCAATCAAACCAGAGCAGGATAATCAGAAATAAACCCAAATCTTAAAACACCTTCTCTCCACCCAGAGAAATTCTGTAGAACAGCAAAGACTGATGTGGAGAAATATTTTCTTCTGAATATAGACTATTACAAAAAGTTTTGGCTTGGTGTCCTCATGACTTGTGACTTAAAATTGACTTTTGAATTATACTGACTTAACTAGTTTTGCTATCATTTCTGATATTTTTTCATATAAGATAAGACAAGCATTATTAGAACTAGCTATTTCTGTAAACCTTGAATCTAGTGTGTTAAATGTTAGCATGATTCTTCCCTTCAGTAATAAATCCTAATAACCCAACTGGATTTATAACAGCCTATTATATAGCTCATTCATGAATATAGACCAATTTCCACTTTCTTGGACTAGAAATCATGATCACATCTAATCTCCTGTGCCTGACAATAAGTTTATGATGTTTAGTGGAAAAGCTCACTGACTTTAGAGGTCACTGAATGAGATCACAAACTATTTTATACAGCATAGCTATTAGCAAAAAAAATCAAAACAAAAATGCAGTAGAAGGAATATGAGACAAATGCTCTTATTGCTTTTTGTGTTGCTGTATACTACATGGATTTTATAGGTTTCATTATTCCCCAGATGACATGCTGAAATAAATACATAAACTCAGGGATTATTTTGTTATTTTCTCAAATCTTTTAGGTATTTCAAAGTTCACATTTTGAAGCTGTATGTCCCATCTCTGGGCAGGCCCCACTCAAGGTCAGGTTGGATGGAGCTTTCAACAACCAGATCTAGTGAAATATGTTCATGTCCATGGTAGAGGGGTTGGACCAGATGATTTTTAAAGATCCATTTTATGATACATTGGGATTTTGGAGTGTAGTTTTGATTCAATATGGTTTTTTCCTAAAAGAATAATTGAAATTAATCAAATTCTGCCCTCAGTATTGACCAGGAAGAGAATGAATTCATCAGTCTAAGAATGAAAATATATATTTCTGAAAACATCCCAAATTTCCTTTTTGCATTCTTCCATATTATATGGACTATTTGTATAGTAGCTGTGAGATCCTGGTTGTGCTCTGCTGTAAAACAATGCACAACAGTGGGAGGATCAACTGGGCAGTTCAGTGAACTGGAATGAGAATTTGGGCCTATATTAGATCTCTCACCACTAGGTAAGAGGCAAGACTCTAACTAAACTGTAAATAATAAAAGCTGACACTTTGTGATTTCCTCTACAGATACACATTGCAAAAAATATTAATTTTGAAGATGATGCATTGCAGTTAATTGAGCACTGTAAAACCATTATTTTGATGTGATAATCTTAAAAAAGAATGCACTGAAAATGAACAGACCTGTTTACTGCCTTGGAAACAGAGGGTTAAATACTCCATTTTGTAAATATGATCTGCAAATATTGATTTTTAAAAGACAATAACCTAAATATTCTTCTACCCGAGTCTTTATTTAGATGTCAATTACTCTAGCACCAGAGAGCAATCATACAGCCAAAGGATACTGTAACCAGTATGTGATGATAAATGTTCTATGACCACAACAGAATTTTTCATATGATGCACTTATAGGACCTGAATTCAACCAGAAAACCCATGGATGGGGAATAAACTCCTCTACTGATTCCTAGAATCCACACAATAAATATAGTAGGACAATTTCAGCATATTTTGAGATTTATTACCCTTCCAAAATTCTTCTCTGAGCACCCTTGTGGGGTGACTCCCCTCTATACCCCTTGCAGAGGGCATTAGTCCACTGTATTTAACATAATAAAGACATGATCCTTAGACATAATAATAGCAGTCTGAAGAGTTCAATATAGCCTATGAAAACAAAAGAATTCTGCTTAAAACACACACTTAAAAAAACCCCGAAGTACTTTTTAATGTTATGTTTACTTATCTTTTGGCTTTATGTCTTAAGAAACTGTGCTTCAAATATTTTCATGCATGCCCATCAGTTAGAAGTTTCCTTTATTAAAACAAAACTAGGAACTTTTTGTGTAAAACAAAGATATGGAAACTTAGAAAAAAACTTAAATATTTGGAGACCTAGAAACAGAAGAGCTAGCTACAGCAACCACAAAATATAAATTATCTTTGCCATCTTAATTATCCTCCTACTTTCTCATATCATCAAACCCCTTCCATGTTCTGGGGCAGTAGCCACCTACTCCCTCTAAATCGCTTCAGTGAAGCCTGCAAATGCTATCTAACATTTGTTTTCTGTTATACAAACATATGCAAATCCTTATCCATATGCATAAGCACATAGACACGCCTCCAGAATAAAACTCAGATCTCTCCATCGAGGTCAGTGTCCCTAGACTCATAGCTCTCATCCCAAAGAATCTAATTGAAATGTGCGTTACAATGAGTGAGTGGGAAAGGGCAGGGTGAAGGCAGATTAACAGCTATAATACTGTCACAGAGGCTAGTTACAGGCATGAGAGCTGTATGGTTTGGTCATTTGTCTCTCCAGTTTGTAGATTCTTACATCTCTTCTGCTTTTTCTTGCCCATATCAGAAGTATGTGTCAAGGTTTGCTTCTGTTAACTGCAGTTCTAATGTTTATTGTTTAATTTCTTTCCATTTAAACAATCTCAAATTGACTGCCTAGCTAGTGTTATGGACAATTTGTCTTACAGCAGAATCACAATTATTTGCATGTTCTTTTTCATAAGTTCTCTTCCCTCTTTTCATGCATCTGTAAAATAAACTGGATTTCATCTGACAGACTATGAATATTCCGCAGAACACCTATGCGTGCGCAAGAATTTGCTTCGGTTCCACAACAACGTGTTTTAGTTCCCTGAGCTGAGATGCTACCATGGTTCAATATGCTTCTTATGCCTCCTCACTCATCCAAGTCATTTTTGTTCACCCATGAAATAGTTTCTGGACTTGTGACCTGCCAACACCTAAAGAGCTCACGAGGCTCCAATGGAGACGCCTCCCGGTTTGGTAAGCTGTAAATGCAGTCCCTCAAAATATCTCAGTTAAATCCTCTCCTCTGTGTTGTTGCTTCCCTTTCTTTACTTCAGTGCTGCCCCAAATTTTTGGACCTATAGACTATTCAGCCTTCAGTCTCTCCTGCCATGCAGGATCAACACAAAGGCTTACTTTGAACAGCAGGCTTGAATGCTGTACAAGGACTATCATGACTGTCCTCACAGATACACAGGAATAAAATAATAGGGACAGTTCATAAGCCTAGGAAAACATTATTAAAAAATTGAAATTCTATATATTCTTTGTTTCTTCAGTGATTTAGTACAGTGATTAGTTCTACAACTAATTGTATTTGGGCAAACACAATGAAAGGAATTGAAACACAAAATGTTGCAAATGAAACAAAATAATAGCATCAGTCATCTCTGAAATCATTATGGTACTTGAGAAACATAATAAAACTGAAGTGTATGAGACTTTCCTGGAAATTTCCCACACACGTTTTAAAGACATCTGTTCAAAGCAGAAATGTAGGGTAAATTTCTGGAGAGGGAAGAAAAAAACCAACAAAAAAGAGCTGTATCTTCCTGATTTCCCCTATAGATTACACAATTCAGAGCAATTTCTTTGGGGCATTATTTGACCTTTTCTACTTGTATGAATCTCTCCTAGGCTCTCGGGCATTTTGAGAGAAGCCCTGAATCAGCTCTGTGAAGCTTTTCATGAGGAACAGAAATGGACTTTTAGCTTGACTTTCTGTGTCTACAGACATGGACCCATATTTAACTTATTTGTCCCACTTAAATCCAGTGCCGGATCTAAAGGGACATCCCCCACCACCCACAAGAACCTGTTGCTTAGTACACTGTGAACAAATTTCCTTTCTATGGTGATATCAGGATAGCATATTGCACTGATCAAAATCCCATTAAACACTGCCACATTTACAAACAGAGGCAAGAATTTAATTTAAATGTCACTTTAAATTTCCACTATTAGACTTTGTCACTATTACTACCCTCATTTTTGTTAATTTTTCCAAGGCTACTGAGTACCTTCATGTCCACAGATTTTAATTTTAATTGCACACTCAACTATCCCAAATTATCAGGCAACATACCAAGGTAGTGGCAAATTGGCATTATACTGTTTCCTCCATATGGTAAGCAGGTCAAACTATCTCACCCATATGTTATATTCCTCTCTGCTGTGAATAAACCCAATGAATATGGTCTTTGTATGGCTATAACAGACTGCAGAAGTGCTTCAGCAGATCTTGAGGAACCAGCACCTGCTCCTAAATCAGTTGTATTGGTCAAATTTTCTCCTAAGACTATAAATATTAGATCACTAGGCATATATATTTGCATAACTTTTGTCTCAAAATTAAACTATTTCTAGCAATCATATCAAATTCTTGAAACTTTCTCACAGTATCAGTACCTGTAAATTTATGGGGTTTTCTCTGCTTTTTCCAATATTGTATTTCTCCATTGCAATAACTTTCTGCTTTAAATCCGTCTGAATCAATTCTGCCACTATTTTCTCTCTTCTCTCACTACTCACCATCTCGACCTCACAAATTCACAACCCCTACTTTCCTGCCTTTCAAATCCAGCTGTGATTCCTGACTCTCCATTTATAAGCCATGCTTTAACCCAGTCCCTCACAATGAGCCAAAGAGCCTTGACCTGCTTGGCTTATTCTGGCCATACATATGTTTGAGATTCATGGGAGAATGTTGTCAGTGGTTTCTGCCTTAAAATTACCAATTTACAAGTCCAGTAAAGTTTTGTTCAGTCCCAGCTCTGAGATTCCATTCTGGCCAGAAGATCTGGACTGATTTGGGAACAAAAGTATGGGATGCAGAATAGGGAGCTTAGGGAGAAATTACTGAGTGGGGAGCTTGTAACCCATGAGGAAGGAAGCTCATGTCCCAGTAACACATTAATCTGCAGGGTAAACCAGCTTTTTTTGGAGGTGATGGTGCCAGAATTCCACTCAGTCAAGCTTTGCCCACCACTGTGACACCGGTAGGTCCAGGCAAACAAAATGTGGTACAGATATTTACTCCTTTATCAGCAATTCATGAGACACGATGCAAAATGAGACACATTAGCTGTTTCAAGGGATATACAGACCCCAAAGGCACTGAGACTGCCTTTGGGATTTCTCCTGCAAATCCTTCTGCATAGCTGATGCTCAGGTGCAGAAAAAAAACCCAATTCCAACCTGTGTGGCCATTGGCATGTGGCCATCTCCTGCTGCAATCCCCTAAAACAAAACAGGACTCATACCCTACAGGAAGAAGTAGCGCCAAGATTAAATAGGAAGAAGATCATAATTAGTAATAGAGATGATAGATTTTACCACACTGGGAAAAAAAATCCCATAAGCATTTAATAAGGGACATGAGATTTGAAGCTGCACTGAGGGAAATTTCATATTATACAGGGCATTTAAGAACTGTAACATGATTCAGCAGAATACTTCTATAGAGATTTTAAGCCTCTGATGTCAAAAGGATTGAGCAGAATAGCTCTGAGTCCACCTGCTGCCAGCCCTTTCCAGACCCCGTGGTGGAAATGTTTGCCTAGGAGACAGCACAACTTTTCTGGTCCACCAACGGCTGGTGAGATGGGACATGTGAGTGTCTGGGTGTCAGGACAGTCAGTCCATGTGCAACAGTCAACCTCCTCTGAGGGGCAGGTTAGACCGAAACAAATCCTGAGATAAAAATAAAAGAACGAGAAATACAAAAGAATAAGCCAGGTCTGGACAAGCTGTTCTTTTTCCTTTCATGCCTCACTAAGGTATTACGACCTTGTAGGCATGAAAACCAAATCACTGTGTGTGTGGGAGCTGAGCGCGATATGTTTTGTGCCACAAGCTGCAGAAGAAAAGGGTTGGATGCCTGAGGTGCTGGTTTACGACTTCTGAAGCACAAAATCTCTGCATAGCATTCCTGTGTGGTGTTTGTTATGTTAGTTTAGTTTCTGTCTACCTTCTCTACTTATAAGCAGGAATATTTCACACAGGTGTTTTGAAGATAAATGACATAATGAAAAATACTGGAGAAGAGCAAAAAGACTGTTGCACTGGAAGCTGCAGATGTACTTTAGATAGCTGGAATTGTCTAGAGTATTGGACAGGTGTCAAATAAATTGAAAGAAATAATATAATAGATTATTTCACATGAGCCAAAGTTTCATGGAAATGCTGTTTAGATAACACGAAATCATATCAGTTTGTCATTTATTGTGTGTGGGGGGGCTTGTAAATAACCATCCCAGCAAACAAAACCAAACCTCTTTTAGTATATTCCCAGGAGAATAACACTACTGTAAAAAAAACCCCAGAAGCTTTATTTCAACTCAGCAAACCAAAGCTGACAAGGAGTCTCCTAGTCAAATATAATCTGCATGTGTGATGGTCACTAACAGGGATGACATTGAGGTCTTACAGTTGAAGGCAGGCAAATATATATGCAACTTAATGCATATAATATATTTCAGGACTTTGCTGAAATAGCTAACGCCTTTGAGAGTCCTCAGGAACACAGCAGTCCAGCTTCATCTATTTTTACACATAATGCAGGTAATCAGTAATTCAAATGTTATGTCGAGCTCATAGAGACAGGATATATGAATGTAGGAAGTCTTCTCACAGGAACTCTACAGCTAGAAATGAGGAGATGTATTATTTCCCTAGTAGGATCTTATTTCATATTAAAATAAAATTTAAGAAAACACATAATTCAACACAAAGTGATTTGTGCATTTAAGTGAACGCTTAAAATTCTTGAGCTCTATGGCTACAACACAATGAAAGGGTGAAGATGGGAGCTGCAGTTGTGTAGTCATCTCTCGGATCAGAGCAGAGGTGAACAAAATCCCTTTTATTGTAAGTCCTCATAAGTTTCCTTACTTAAATTACAGGGTTTACTCATACTCTACAGAATTTTTGGGCAAGCAGAGGAATGAAGCATGTCTTACATTGCTTATGCACATTACCTAAACACTTCTTCCTTCTCATTACAAGACTCTAAGTGGCCAACCCAGCTCTGTGTCCTGCCTGTGAGCCTAAGATGGTACCAAAGTACAGTTAGACAACTTCAACTGAGGCAAAAATTGAGAGTAAAAACAGAAATCTTGGTGTAGGTGAGTTTTTCCATCATCACTGCTTGATGTGGATACTTCCTTCTTTTACAATTTCATTAATATAATATAATTATCCATGCCATATAATGAGCTTTCTACCTAAAAGCAATTCACTTAGAAATGACACAGAAACATTTTTTTTCTGGGTCCATCAATGTTTCATACTGTCATTAATGACCTGGGTGATAGAACATGGAATATACTTATTAAATTTGGAGGTGACACCAAGTTGAGAAGCACTGAAAATACTCAGGAGGGTAGAACAAAATATCAAAATGGTTCTGACAAATTGCAATTCTGTCCTTAAAAGAAAGAAAAAAGAGATGCTATTCAACAGGGTCATGTGCAAGATGTTCACTCAGTCAGGAATAACCAGCTATAAAACCCAGAATGAGGAGTACTTATATAGAAAATCTGCAGAAAAGGCTCCAGGGGCTTTTTGAGCATCACAGGCTGAACATGAGTCATCAGTGTCACCCAGCTGCTGAAAAGGCAAGCACCGTTCTCTGGCTGAGAAATCCAACAGCCAGGGAGATGTTGTTCTCTGAATTAGCAAGGTCTCAGCTTGACCATGGAGTTTGTTTTGGCACTGTATATAAATCAAATGTGGACTGCTTAGAATGCATCCAAAAGAAAGATCAAAAGCAGTTACCAAAGATCCACCAATAGTAGAAGCAATTGGGGAGCACTGGATGGTTAAACTCTCAGAATCTGACAAGTGAAGCATTGGAATAGATCACAAAACCACAGAATATCCTGAGTTGGAAAGGACCCACAACGTTCACCTAATCCAACTCCTGGCCCTGCACAGGACAGCCCCAACAATCCCACCATGTGCCCGAGAACATTGTCCAAACACTTCTTGAGCTCTGGCAGGCTTGGGGCCATGACCACTACACGGGGTTCCAGTACCCAACCACCCTCTGGGCGAAGAACCTTCTCCTTGAGAACTCTTCACTTCTGGAGCTTACAGGAGGAGCTGGTGTGTCAGGAATGAGCAAACCAATACTGCCTTAGAGCAAAGAGATAGACCAGGTGATTTCTTATATCCATTGCACTTCAATGGATTAAAGACGTTTGTCACAATAAAGCTATTACCCACAGAAAGAATCATGTTAAACACAGCAGAGGGACTTTTAAACTCTTATTCACAGAGGTTTATATTTCTTTGAGAAGACTGAGCTAGATGGGAACCTCCAAATAAAACACTATTTATAAGAAGGCTCCAAAATACTATTGGGGCTGAGACTCAAAGTTTTAAAGGCACTTCAGCCATCTCCATCTCATGATTTTGGTGAGAATCCATTTCAGTTCCAGAGGATCAGAACACATGTTCTTAAATTCTGTCTATTCTCCATATTATAAAAAGCCAACACTGAAGTCACACTTATTTTAAAGAAAAAACACTTGAAAATCTTAACATAAAATAAGCCCTTCAAATAAGCTGCACTGTTGTATTGGATCACTACTGGTTAAAGAGTAAATTAAATGGAGAAAGTTCATGTGAAAGATGATATCTTATATATCGACAAAAACTCTGAATTTTTTTCCTTAGGGATTAAGTGCAACATTGCAGAAATGGATCCTAGGGACATGGTTTAGTAGTGGCCTTGGTGCATGACCTTAAAGGTCTTTTCCAACCTAAATGACTCTATAATTCTATATATGCTTCACCTATAAATATTTTTCTATTTCTTGACATTTTGATTAAGCTTCCTGGATTACACATTTCATATGAGGGTGTTTTTATCTTCCTACTATGTGAAATGTTGTTTAAGCCTTATAAACTGTCAAGAGAAACTTAACTATACACAGAATTTACACAGTTAGCTTTGCCGTGATGTTATCTAAACTGCTATTCTCTAAAATTCCAATACAAAATAAACACATTACAAGAAAGTAAATATATTTTTACAGTCTGCTGTAGTTGCTAAACTGGTCTATTCTGTTTTGCAGAGAAGCATCTGGAAAATCTACTTCAGAATGAAAAGTAAGGAATGAGATGTATGGTATAGAGCAAAAGTAGAAGACTTTTTTTTTCAATTCCAGCAGTTGTTAGGCTAGAAATAAACCATGGAAATGATTATAGGGAAAGTTTCACTATATATAAAGATAATTATTTATATTTAATACTGTGCTACAGACATAGCAGCTAAAGTGCAATATCCATCCTAACATCCACCATTTGCTTCAGATTTTGATGGCACCTCTTACGCGATGTTGCATTGGGAATTTCTGAACACAGCACTCAGGGAAAATCCAGTCAGCAAGAAAAAATGAGAATGTGAATGTGCTTGTGAGACATCCAAGTAATGCACTGGAAGATCGTCCTTGACAAGCACAAAGAAAAGCCAGACACCTGTCTGTCTATTATCCACTACCAATCTCTTTTTAATATCAAACACCTTT